TACTATAAACTTATTTTTTAATGTAAAACATTTTTTATTAGTTTGTTTTTTATTAGTTAAGCTTCCTCAGCATAGCCTGTTAGCCTTTGCGCTAGAGCAGACACTATGTTGCCTTGTATGTATTAGCTCAGCAATAGTCAAATAAACTAAACTGAGGTCCTCCATCCATATTTTCAGTTACAGGCTGAGTCATTTCTACCTTCTCCTCTCTGTCAACGCTCTCTGGTTTCATTTAAAAGAGCCTATCTTCAGATATTGTCCAAGACTAAGCTTCAGGGTGGATATAGCACGTTAGTAGCCTCGCACCGATGATCTATCCATGTCATCACTTACCCAGAATGTTTTGCGTGCAAATAAAATGGCCCCATCCGTGTAATATATTTTCAAACTTTTAGTTTAAAAATTTACAAAACTAACAGCCAACAGTATTTTTAAGTCTTGATTTTAAAGTTAAAATATATGTTTATCAAATAAAGTCTAATGTTACAACTAATCATGGATCCCTTTAACCTCCACCATTTTTGCAACAAGAGCCCTGTTTTAACTTTTTTTTATCCAAACCTACACTAGTAGTTCCTCAAATTATGCTAATTTGTCATGTACCACCCAATACATAGAGGCTAGGAAGAATGTAATCCTTGTATTCTAATGTGATGGGTCTGATTAGGCCATTTGTTAACAAAGAGTTAAAGCTTTTATCCATTTCCAATAAATCGCCTGTCAAAGGTCTGTGTTCTTTTACCAACCTGTCTTTCCTACAGGCACAGTATGTGGGGTTAAACACCACTCCACCTCCCTGCTGTTCACTGCCAATATCCAGTACATCACTGATATAACTAACCAGCTCAGTATAGGATTTTACAGTTTTGGGAAAATGGATTAAACAAATCAATAAAGAGATTAATGTTGTTTTTGCTCAAGATCCTGCGAGCACAGTAAATCATTAATGCTGTAGCCAAACAGACATTGCAAAATCAAAAAAAAAAATGTTAGCATATAGTGACAATTCCTTTCAGGTCGATTTTAAGTGGTTTTAGGATCATATTGCACAATGTTGGCACGGCTGCTTCATATATGTTACTTGAAATTCCTGTTTATTATTATTTAAGCAAAGGCATTGCTAGTTTATGACATTAGGAGTACAGACAGTGCTCATGTGAATGATGATCTATAGAAA